GTCTCTGACGAGCAGTCACCAGCCACATCGACCTGATCAGTGTTTGATTGTTGTGTCTTGTTGCTTTTCTTCTTTTGTCTCTCCTCTATCCACTCACCCCAACCGGTCGAGGCAGAAGGCCGCCCACCAAGAGCCGGGGTCTGTCGGAGGTTTCTTCCGTTAAAGGGAGTTTTTCCTCCCCACTGTCGCCAAGTGGTTGCTCAAGGGGGATTTGTTGGGTTTTCCCTATGTAATAATATTGATAACAGTAAGGTCTAGACCTTACTTTGTAAAGTGTCCTGAGATGACTTTTGTTGTGATTTGGCGCTATACAAATAAAATTTTGATTTGATTTGATTCCTTTGTGTCTGCTAAGCTCTTTGTCTGTCTGTCTGTCTGTCTGTCTCTGCACTTCAGACCAGACCTCAGACAAGAAAGGGAACAATTTCATTGGCATACTACTAGTGTGGATCTGGACTCAGCACTATGACCCCTGGCCTCTCACCTGTGTCCCCTCTGAGTTTAAACAGTTTGCACCAAGCCACTTCTGTTATGGTATGGACAGATCATAAACACCACATACTGTACATATCAGACACAGATGATCATTCAAAGCTGAGTGTTTTTGTAAACTATGTCTGTTTCAACTGTTCCTCCTACGAATCATTAATATTGCATGCATAATGCAGGATACACTCTACTTCATGAGGCATGTGGCTTGGGTTTGGGGTGCAGGGTTACATGCTGCTAGAGTTTCATGAAAGTGGAGACCCTGTCTGTCAGCTAGTGTTGTTGTACTGTAGAACTGACTACAGCTGGAGGCCCACTGGTCACCTACAGCTACAGTAATAGGCTACACATAGAGAAACAACACGGCAGGTGTCATGCAGGTACAGTGTGAAGTCTTTGCAGTTTATACATTTTCATATAAATTTGATAGGCTATCTTTGTGGTAGTTCATACTTTATTCTGTCTCATGCTCCAGTACTCTGTGTGCAAGCTGCGTACCCACCAGTGGTGTTTCCTCTTCTTCAACGTGCTACTCTTCCATGCCTTATTGTTTGGGGCTGACTTTGTTGAGGAGTACCTCCTGCAGCCTACACCTGGGATCTACACTGATAGCTCTGTTATTGATGTAAGGGAGAGAGCAAGGAAACTAGACCTGAGCAGTGTGAGAGAGAATGTGTCCCAGGCCTACCCCATCACTAACCCTAATGCTTGCAGAAACTCGGACCTCTTCATCCTCACTCTGGTGTTCAGCTCCCCATCTAATGTCACCCAAAGAGATGCAGTCAGGAGGACATGGGCCAACCAGACCCTCATCCAAGGCTTCCCAGTGCGTTTCCTGTTCTTTTTAGGATCAACTCAGACTTCTGCTGCACAAGAGGTCCTCATGAGAGAGTCTGCCCACTACGGGGACATGGTCCAGGGTTACACTGTGGCTGACACGTCTCTCCACAGCTCAACAGAAAGGACAGTGCTGGCTCTCCGCTGGGTGATTGCCTTCTGTCCTCTGGCACGTTTTCTTCTGCTGACCAAGGACTCCGTATTTGTAAACCTCCCTGCCATTGGAGGCTACCTGCTTGGGCTGCACAGGCACCCTGAAGACTTTTATCTAGGTAGGGTCATCCAGAAAGACCCCCCTGATCGGGACCCCAATAGCCCTGGCTACCTCCCCCGAGCTCTCTACCCAGACAAGTACCTTTCTGAATACTGTGATGGGGCAGCCTATGTTCTATCTCAGGATGTGGTTCGAAAAGTGTATATAGCATCTGCAGTGGTCCATGCACCAGTGCCACCTGATGTTTTTGTGGGTCTTTGTGCTCACAAGGCTGGTGTGGCACCGACCCACAGTGCCAGATTCTCAGGAGATAAACATATCAGCTACAATGTCTGCTGTTCCCGCTACCTTTTCAGCTCAGCAGGACATGAAACAATGTGGGCAGACCTGGGACAAAAGGGTGGAAAATGTTCCCTTTTAGAGACCTACACTGGTCTGGTGAAATGCAAGGCTCTGACATACCTGGATAAACTGCCCTTCTTCAGATCCCAGGGGCAAATCAGCGAATAAAGTCGACTGAGTGTATGTGATGTGTGTGCTTGTGAGTGAAAGAGAGACAAACTGAAATATGTTGAAAAAGAAAAAGCGAGTGTAAGACATTTTTGTTGTCTTTGTCCACTTGTGTCCTTTTTTTTGCATTTGCCTGTCAGAATGTTTGATAGATGAATGTGTCAGTTTCAGAATAAAGACAGAACCTTGATATGATATTTTAGATCACTATTATGAGAAAGAAGCATTCGACCTGGATTGTTGTAATATATATCAACAAGACCAGATTATTGTAAATAAATCTAAGAGAACAAACGCTCCAATAAAGGAAGCATTATTCCTTTGGTGAACTTTGCCTCAGATTGTCTATGTAAATAATATTATGTTTACTTCTGAGCAGAGGTGTAAATAATAAAATTACATCTGGCTGACCTCTGTTTAGTTACTTCATCTTCAGGGTCATGTTGTTGTGTATGCTCACTCACAGTGAGTCATGACTGAGAATATCAGAGCCATTGTTGACATTATTAGCAACACCTATGCTTTTCCACCTATGACAAGTCAAAATGTTGGCTGTGAAAAAAACTTTTAATCTAAGTTACTAAACTCCATATACTAATAAAATGCCTTTTTCATCAAGGACACTTTAAGTCGTCATATCCAAAAAAGCACAAGTGAATCTAATAGCATTTTTATTTAGGTGCTATTACACCAGTGCCGGACCTGACACAACTAAACGGGATTCAGAATCTATAATGTGCTATTTCTACTTTGACCAGTCAAGTTGTGTGTGTAAATATGGTCCTTTTAAATATGTTGTCTTGCCTCTATTACACATGCAAAATGGCAAGTAGGAGAGTCAGAGCAATAGCCCTTCTGTACATGCCCACACAGTCCTGAGGTCTAATCAGGCAAAATAACCAAGAACACTTGTGTGGGTGAACATCTGGTGTGGAGGACTTAAATCAAGGAGAAAACACTGTTATGCTGTTTGAATTCAGACATCTAAGTTCTTTTTAGAGCCTCTTTCAGCTAAAATGTACCTTAACAAATACATAATACAAGAAAAAAGACATTTATCATGATAGCCTGACCTGACTCTGATACCTTGTCAGTATAGATATGATCACATGTAAGTAGTATTTTTTGCTTTTATGGAAAATGTTATTTTTCTAGTAGCAATAAAAGCTCATGACCTGAAAGGTAGTTTAAGACAAACCAACTGATGGACTTAGCAAAACCTTCATGAAATGGCATCAGTTCCAGGACAAGATACAGTTTCCTGATTGCACCATGCTAGTGAGGACATCTAGTGTTCAGTATGAGTTATAGCACCCCACTGGCCCCAGAACACAGTAATGAACTGTATGTTTACCTCAGTGCAATTTTTGTTTAGCCAATGAGGAAAACTCATAGCAATGATTTGCCTTATAATATATAAACTAATAACTCTTTTTCTTTAATCTTTTATTCCAAAACTGGATATCTCTCTGCAAATGTGATCCATATATTCCTGATATAAATGACTGATGGCAGGTAGAAAGTTTATACAGTATGGATAAATGATAATGTCTCTAATTGATAAAAATATGGAACCAGTTACCAAAATCATCACTAATGCTTTCAGCATTGTAAGCATTAATATAAATGCTTTGATATGTGCCATGTTTTCTGGAGAAGAGAGATTTGCATTTTTGTTGTTGTACAGTGGCTGAGACGTGTGATCACACAACAGTTGGTGCTGGAGGAAATAAATCTGGTTCCCATCCATTTTAGATTTGCAGTGATTTTATGATATTTAATGTTGCTAAAACTTCTGCTTCTCTCTCTAAATCCCATGTTTGGCCAAGACAGTGACCAAACAAAATGTTTAAGTTTTTTCTACTGTTTTGGTTCGTGTTGCAACACTTTACTCCACCTTGGCCAGGTTCCATTGTGACTCCATGGCCTCTACACTCCACAATCCCTCGCTTCTTACCTCTTAACCTAGTCTATCGGTCTGTCTCTTCCTAAAATCTGCCCCCTTGATGCTTTAGTTTTAAACTGTTGTCATTTTATGGTCACTACTATCCCACTTGTGCCACAATTTCCTGTGAAGTACCCATATAGCAAGAGGTTTTAACCAGATACCTCAGCATCTTAAGCAAATACTTCTACACTTATTTGCCTAAAACAAAAGATCCATACCACTCTTAAATGTGAAGCTCAGGAGATGTTAGCTTAGCTTAGCATAAAGACTGTATTTTTTCTTGTCTAGCTCTAGGCAACAAAGCAAAGGAGTCTATTTCCAAAAATGTCACACTTTTCTTTTAAGCCCATCGCAGAGGCTAAATTGTGGCCTTATGTCTACACTTACAAAAACATACTTTACTTTAGACCACAGATGGGTTTGTTGTTGTTCTTACTAGAATAGAAGAAGTTGCCAAAAGTGTTTCTGAGTGCAGTTCTTCTTTATACAAAGTTATCAACATAAATTACAGCACTGGCTGAAAAACTCTGTCAGTGTCTGGAAGGACTTTCCAGAGGGTTTGCAGAGTGGGAAAGTCATCAAACCTACCAAAACCACATGTATACTTGTACACTTGCACACACATATAACACAGCCTGCAGAGATTGTTAATGTGGGGTTGAGGGCTTGTAAACTGCATGTGGGTGGTGCAGCTGTCTAATGAATGCCTCCCCTCAGAGAGATGCATCTCCACAGAGAAGGACCCATCAAACCAGAGAAGCACTGTTTTATTTAGACTGTTTACACTGATTGAAGAAGTTTGGAACTTCACAGCTATGGCCACTGGTTTGTAGGGAGGGTCATGGGGAGGTAACATGTCAACCAATGAAAGAAATAATTGTCTGTCATTTTAGTTTGCGTGTGCACGTGTCTTTCATGAGATCCTTATAGATTTTGCATTTTACTGGATGCTTGCAGCTGAGGCTGAGTGCTCATGTTTCCCTCCAGCCTACATTCATTTACATAGAAGCAGTAACCTCAAAGCATGATCTCTGCTTTTTGATGACATCTGTGGTTTCTTCTCCTTTCCCTTTTTGTAAACTTCACAATCTTTCTTATGAGGTTGTGGTTGCCAAGCCAGGAGTTTGTGCAGTTGCCATTGACTTCTTGTGTTTTAATTGTGCGCTGTATAGTTTCAGGCTTTTCTCATAGAAAGACTCAAAAGACTAATTTATATTTAATGACAACAACACTCACTAAAACAAAGCTGCCATCTTGCCGAGAGATTACTCAGTATCTCTGGCTGTACCCTGAGGACATATAAAGTCATGAACAAATATAAAGCTGAACAAAACAGTAGAGTGAATTCCCTGGGCAGCATTTTAGAAATTCATTTATGCACAGTCCTCCAGCAGATTTTTTTTAAAACTGGCAATCAATTCAATGGATTAATCCTCTGGGCACCATCAATATTTGTGCACAATGTCACAGGAATTCATCCTGGAGTTGTTGAAAGAAGCCATCCCTAGAGTCATGTGCTTATTATGGCTATGAAATATTAGAATCAGCCTTGAAAATATGTAACATGTGTTGACACTGCAGACTAAAGAGTCCTGTTCACGTCAGTAGATTCCCCTCAGATTTCTAGTAATATTATTATGACTGGAATCACCATCAGCTTTTTTCTCTTCCCATTTCTGGCATGTGGTTGCTTCTTTGTGGTGATCATGCAAAGGTTAGGACATTTGTGGGCAGCCCATTCACTTTGATGACATTTTTTTGGTTACTGTGCTGGGCCTGTCACTGTACTAAGGCACTAGTTAATCTATCAACGGGATCCTCAGTCACTGTTGTCAGGATCAGTGCTGGGTGGAGACTCAGCCTGCATTAAACGTTATTAGAGGTTTGTTCTGTAGTTGTTGATGGACTGTGGAGTGGTTAAGAAGTATCCTCTCCTCTACTTTGTCTCATATGCTCACTGCATGATGAACAAGACATCTGTTGATGCTCTAATGTTCTCCACTGTTTTCCTTCAGCTACTACCCTGTGTATCACACTTTTTGATTTGTGTTACTTTAAAAACCATTCAAGTCCAAGAACATTTGTTAATCTAACAACAAGACTATCAAAACTGTTCATTGCATTGATTTTTGAAGTAGAATAATGTGACATCTCTTCATCTGCTTTGCATTGTACTATGTTACCGTGATAAATAAAATGCTCCTCTAGTAGAACTGGCTGGATAGGAAAGGGTGAAAGAGACCAAGAGAGCATGCGTGCGTAAGTGTTTTACACGGAGGCTTGTAATAATAGTAATTATAAGGCTGGATTTTGCCATTAAAACCACCTCATCATGCACTGCATTTTATTACAGGTTCTTCCTGAGCAGCTTCACAGAAACTGATGGGTTATTGGTGACCCAACTTTATGACGGTGCCAAGAAGAGCTGTGTTTAAGCACATATGTAGAATCTATGTAACAAACCTAACTGATCACTTGTGGCTACAGTTGAGGTTTAGAGATTTAGAAGCACACTGACCACAGATTTATACTGCTATTTTTGTACCGTAGGACCTAAATGTATTCTACAACTTCATTCCTTATTGTTGTTTAGTTCCCAGCAGTTCTTGTGGTTGCTGCCGCCTCAACAAGTTATAAATTGCTGACTGCTTGACAGGGTGGTCACCACTGCACTTAAAAAGATGTCACAAGTGAAGAGTTTCACCGAGCTGCTGTTTCTTCCTACAGCATGGCATCTACTGTGCGTTTGGTTATAAACCCTGATAGAAGAGCAGGGCAAGTGGGAAACTGAGGAAGTAAAACCCAAAGACCAACATTTTGTGAAACATCCTTTATGTGTGTGCTGAGATCCACAGAAAAGTCCAATACATAACAACATGACAAAAAAAAAGTCAGTCATTGTACTAAGCTAACTGGCTGCTGGCTACAGCATTATATGTAACTAATGGGCAGATGTGAAAGTGGTATCAGTTTTCTCACTGAACTCTCTAATTAATGATTAAACAGTCAGTAGTGGGGACAATGCTAGTTGTGGTCACTTTAGATGTATCTT